GTGATCTATCTGGGCCCATCGCCGGTGGGCGCCAAATGGCACTTCGGCACCACTATTTGTGCCAAACCTCGCTCATCTTTGTTAACTAAAGTCCTGTTGCAATTCACATTTGTTTTGATCACACACGTATCGGCGGCACTCCGATTGTTGAATAATTATGCATGTTCTGCCCCTCAAACTAAGAGGCAGATTGGCAATTCTCGCGCACCTATGGCTGTTTGTCGAAATCTAGAGGATTGCCTTTTGAGTGAGACTTTATATGAGCACCTCAACGCTATTCTTTTCAGGTCTGGTGATACGGTTAACACATAAGCCAAACACGTACACTTTAGGAGTATGAAGTGTTCTAATATCTGCAATGGATGAAAACAAAATTAACGTACAAACGCTCACCCAGTGAGCAGTGAAACATGCACAAATATCCCAATTTCCTTAAAGTAGCAAACAATAAAGGCACTTTGTGCGCCTGTTAGCCAGACTTGCTACGGAAAGCTACTGTGTGAAAGGGACCAGAAATTGTCAAGCAGTAAAGTGACACAAACGGGACGAAAGCACCGGGTAGTATGAGCACATAGACCAACAGTGCCTATACCGTAGGGGGTTTATTAGCAAAGCATCGGCAGTATACAGGTAGTTGGCAGAGAAGCTGCAGTCCGTCGAATTTGAGCCTGGATACAAGAAAGTCGGTCGCACCTGGGCTGGTAAGAGCAGATTTATGGTAAACACCAAACGACTGGACTCGGTTCCGAACAGCAGTAATAACGTTTCTCTTTTGATGATGAATAACAAAAGATGCCTCATAGAGTATTCCTACGACGTTTGAGTTGATGAAGCGGCTGTTTAACAGACCGCCCAGCACATGTTACCATCGATGTTACATGGTAACCACACAAAGTGATTATGCCGGAATGACTAGTAGTAAGTGCGCAAATTCAGCAGTTGAGCTTGCCATTAAATACACCGGCGATGGTTTCATATTTCAATTTAGCTTCAGCACAATGCGGCCAATTCGGGACTAGTCAACGGCCAGCGTCATATTTACCCGATGAGGTGCTAGAACTCACGTTCCTTCAAGTTCAAGTTAAAGCGAAGAAGTCAGCCACGAGAAATGCCATTCAATGACGGCAAGGTTAATCAGTAACGAGCGGTTTTCAAACGAACTGCTCGAGCGCAGCCACAAAGGCAGGCAAGCTAAGCTTCTAGTCAAAGCATAGAGGAAATATGTTGCTGAAGACGCCGGAAGAAGAGTAAGAGAAAGTGGTACGACGGTTTGCGTACTGCGGTGATTCGTTGGATGGAAAGCAGTCACCCAGATGAGACGCGTAAACTGAAGGCGGTTAGACGAGGTTGTTAGGGGGATGCTCAATGCCACAATCGTTAGTCGCTTGCTTTCATTTCGTGATCATTTGGTTCTTGACAACCGCTTCAACGCATCATTCATTTGCTTCGATGGGCTGGCCTAAGTCGTTCATAATGGATGCTATCTCAGGGGCCTATTTGCACTAATGCGTGTTCCTCGGATTCGCATGATTGGTTCCTTCTTTTGTCACTTCTCATTCGCTCGTATTCTTCGTTGTTTCCTATAATGTTGGTTGGCTCCAAAATGTAGCTTTTCAGTAGCTTTGCTTCATAAACTATTGCGCCCTAGATAAAAGAGCAGTGTTCTCAGGCATATAACTCGGTCCTGGATCATCTTCCTGTGGTCGTGGAGGCGTGAACAGTCAGCGGGGGCACAAGAGGTCACACTTCGCCCTCTTTGTAGGTGGCTGTGGATAAAGTGATGGTTCCGTTTCATCGATATACTGGGAAGGTATTTTATGATGTAACCACAGTACAACTAGCAATAATACAGAGCACTATAAGCAGAGAGATGACAATCCGAACGCCTGGTTCATTGAGTCTGCCCATTAGAAGCCAGGACAGTTACAGACCGAGTAGTACGCGGAAACTCGCTAAAACGCAACTATGATTGACTGAGGTCGCGCACATTCGCAAACTACACCATGGAAAAACTCCTAGATGAACAACAAATTTAGGGAGCGGTGTGCGATAACCTGTAGCGACCGGGGGAATTTCCCTTACTTGATGGTGTAAATCAATCTAAAAGATTATAGAAGCATAGTTCTTTTCAATGTATTAGGGAAGTAGGCGGTTCGAATGGTGCTCATGCTTGTTTGAGTCACACACACACACACACGCTGACTTCTGCTGTGGCCTTCGAAGCCGGAATCATCGTGCTTAGCACCCGAACACATCTTCCCTAGCTACTTCTCTATTGGTGTCTTATTTTAGCCTTAGATTGTAGCAACCTTTCTCTAGCTTAGTTCTGTGTGTTTAACCCGTGCTCGATACCCTTACGATCACACCAGGGGGCTGTGTGTACACTCGCACTACTGAGGTTAGCCCGATGCTGCTGATGCTGCGTTAGACCTACGAGCTGTTTTTCCTCGAGTATTCCTACTATATCGAGAACCATTTCAGCAAGTTGTCCACTAAAAAACTGTGACAAACGTCCAAACCAACGGCTATACGCGAGGGTTACACTGCACTTCGTCGGATGGCTGCTGTGAAACCCAGATCGGATGACTAAGTTAGAAGAAGCCCTCATTACGACACCAAGAGGAAGTCAGAGAAGCGATGCATGCTAGTGTCGATGAAGAGTGGAACAGGTAGGCCACAACACACACGTGCAGTACTAGGGAAACAGGTTGGGCGTAAAAGGAGGAACTAGATTGCTCTGTGCTGCTCTAAATGTCATCCCGTACTCGGCGCAGATGTTAGAAACGTGGGGAGTCCGATCGAAGCACATGGGGGACTGACTGGACGCCCCAAGCGTTCGCACTCAATGCACAGGCCAAATGCAGCAGTCCTCTGTCTCAGTGTGTACACAGAAACCATTTGTGGATCAACAACACAATCAGTGCGAGCAAGGAGAAGCGGGAACAGCGTAAGAAACATCACGTGCATAGGCCGGTGTCATTCACAGGAGGTGCCTCCCCCCTCCTTCACAAAGAACCGGTTGGACGACAGTCTGGAAATTGCTTACAAAGTAAACACCTTATCGAACATACAGAAGGCTAGGGTGACAAAACATGGAGAGAGAGAGAGCTAAGCGGAGATGTGGGCCAGTGCTGTACAACGCGCAAACAAGGGGTGTCACATTAGCAGAAAACTGTGGACGAGAAGTGTAACAACTTACGGATAACAAAAGCGGTACGTCTAGTGGGCGGAGCAACCACAGCGCCATCAATAATCCGTGATGGGATGTGGGAGGCATGGCCGTGTGAGCGACAGGACGGTTTGGAGGCGCGGAGTGGTTGTGACCAAACTGCGAGAGGCGCGACGCCTCAGACCAATGGAGTGTGTGAAGCTAGCTGACGTGTCTGATCACGCAGTTTCAAGGTCAAAGCTAGGCTACAACGACTCGGCGCGACGGACAGGCGCACGAGCGAAGCATGTAATGCGCTCATCTCTGATTGGCTGAGACAGAAACAGAGAGAGGTCGTGGTACGACAGGCGGCTCGGATGTTCATGCAAGGATAGGAGAGCGATCCACGCCAGTCGGTGTTGCAGGTGCTTCACAGTCGATCGATCAGACGCGCCAGCGAGCGCATGTGAAGCCGGTGCGAGGTAGGAACGCCGACGGCTGCTCTGGACACGGGTCGAGTTCGCGGTCACGAGGTCGTTGGCACTGACTCGCCAACTGCGACAGGACTGGTTGTTCTACAGGCGCGATATACACTATCAATGCGATTGATGTGCCGATGTTTGGCAACACACAGAGAACTTGTTTTCACTTCTTTCGCTAGCCGCATAATTAGTACACGTTGCTCGCTGCTGGGGACGCGACAATTTATCTGTAAACGCAAAGACATGATCGATCGCATTTATTTAATCTCGTATGCGCGAACGAGTCTACCAGTACGACCCACTTGATTTAGCGCAAAATGTTTTAAAATCGTAATTTTATCTAGCATCAAAAAACGTCACGGCTATTGCCTCAGAAAATTCCATAGCCGTGGCTTGACGAGACCTCGTCAAGTGTCACGACCAATGGGTTCACATACAGGGCCATGCTGGTTCTCCACCAGTTGGTAATGCCCCAGGGAAAATAAATCTGTTCGGCTACGAACAGACTAGGCCGCCATTTGCTCTCTTTAGCTCGGCAACGCTGCCTGTTTTGCTATTCGTCAAACGCATCTTTCTTTTCTATTAGTGTGGCTAACCACACAGTGGATCAAAGTTTGATCGCAGAATCATCAAGATAAGTAACGAATTCGGCGCTGGGATATGGAATGGCCAAAGACGAAGGTCCCTCGTTGTTTGTGAGCTAGAAGACGTAGGTGGCGTGAGTACTGTGGTAAAATGCCACAACGGAGTGACCAGAGTGCGGTGCAGTCGGTGTCCCCCACCAGCATGCCGGAAAACCGAGATCCTGAGAAGGGTGCCGCGGTGTGTTCAACTAAGCTGGTGGGGTAACACAGTATGAAAAAAGACTGCACTAAATTTGATTGCCCAATGCGCCGTAAGTATCGACAACAAAAACGTCATTATGGTTTATCTGATTAATTTTAGAGCTCAATTCCGGGCAGTGACAGAGTTTCTCTGCTATTTAGTTTGTACGCCACTGTTCACTGGGGTTTGAGCCTGCGGGCAACCACGTAGTGTCGCTTAGCTATACGCGAGTGCCGATGAGTGTTTTCGATAACAATGCGATGTATGACCTTAGTTACGAGTAGCGACAGACCCATAGAGTGTGAAGCGTAGTGGCAGTTATGCCTCCACAGTGTGTTGATGTGGCTACCATCGTCAGGAAAGGTTGGTGTATTCTCCAGCAACAAATGAACTTTGTCGAATAATCCGAGAAAAAGTGATGAATACAAACCAGGGGCCGCGGTAGGTGTTGACGATTGCGGGTGGCCCTCTGTATGGATCGGGATTTCGATTCGAAAAATGCAACAGTGTACAATGAAGGACATGGGTGAAGAGAAGCAGCGTACTTCAAAGCACCCTGGGCTGACTGGATAATCCGTGTAAGTAGGGCAGCCGAAGGCTTACGTAGCTCCATCGGTAAACAGGTGATTAGCGCCATTGGCTTGGAGTCGGTTAGGGGCCCCGTGCTCAACAAATAGGATGCGTAGCGAACGCGCAGGTATTCCACAATTCCATAGGCAAATCGCTCCTGCAAGAGACAGAGGTAGACAAACAAAATAGTGCATTGAAAAGGAGGCCTGATCAATACAAACTGAGGTATATCAGCCAAAAACTCACTGCAACTTGGCGGTCACGGACATATTCGGTGAACCACTGCAGGAGAAATACACGGATGGCGTTTTGTATGGAAGCCATTGAGCTGGTTTCTGCGTTTGTGCGAGAAGCGGCGAGGCTCACTGCATTGGCAATTCGCACGAGAAGTACAAGAGCTAGATCGATGGAGTGCATGGGTTGGGGTAAGATATGAAATGGTACCGAAAACGCGTTTGGTATGGCAGGAGGACCGGAACCAACTGAAGGCAGCAGAACAGAGACAGCGGCGGATGGAGCTTCCGTTGTGCCCAGGAGCACGGGTAACAAGGCACCAGTTCGACTGCCGGCAGAAACATCGCAGATGCCAGCAAGCAGTTCCACGGTGCGAGTCAGATTGTTTTGAACTGTAGGACTGGAAGTTAGTGTAGTCGGTTCCCCGAAGGTAGTTGGCTCGGCGACCCCGGCAATCGACTGAGCAGTGTACTCTACGACTGCTGATAGAAGCAACAGTCTCTGTTCGTGCAAAGTGGCAGTGTTCATGGCATGTTTCTGGTACTTAAAGATATGCGATAGAGAAAAAGAAAAATACAACCGACTGGGAGAAATCATTGAAGTGAAAAGTCGTAAAGCATCATATCGCGACTCGGACACAAGTGGAAAATAAACAATTCAGCCATTGACTCAATGACAAATGCTGCCGGTTTCCTGAAGTACATGTGTCGTTAGTGACTGTGATGTGCGTGGAACACTGAGTGAAGTTAAATGCCGGTAGTACGCGAAAAAGAGAAGACAGGTAGGATTGTAGTGGGTAAAAACAGTGCTACCAAGCGTAGCACACCGGTGATCGAGTTCGGGTCCCATTCATGCTACACGAACCTCGCCAAAAGTATTCAAGCCTGGGAGTCTTGAAGTTATACTCGAGGAAAGCTGTCTTTGAAACCAGGGCGAAGGTGAACTATCGAGTAACCTTCAGTTGGCTTTGACACAGGTTGATAGAGAGAATACAAAGGAAGCAGCTGAGACGGCGTACAGAACATACACTCAGACCATCGGAGCTTGTGGAGTGGAGCGATGTAACTCAGTGGTGAGCAGGCCTATCTATCTAAGAAGCAGCACCGAAAACCGATGGGTCATCAGAGTGGCAGGCGAGCGTTTGCGGGTTATGGCAACAAAAACAGAACAGAGACAACGATCAAGGCTGAGACGAATGCAGTGGTATCTGGTCAACAGAGCAAACGAATACCACGCAGTGTGGCCTGGAAGGAGGTACGAAATGTGCATTGAACTCACTGGCACAAACCTCACCCGAGTTTCTCAAATCCGCCAATTGGGCGCCTGTTACTTGAGCAGACCACATCAGTAAAAGAGTAATGCAGGAGGCGTCCGAAGCCATCACAATTCGATCCAAAGAACAGTTTACTGCACCCGGGGATCATGCTAGCTTTAGAGTTGTGAGGCAACTGTGGATAAAGAATCCGATCAAGCTGACCACGGCTACTGGATGCATTGGTTAAGGCACCGACCAGAATCACCAGCACTATTGAGAATGGCTACTTATGCGTAGCCAAATGAATCGTTATGTTACTGAAGAGGATTGAAGCTTACGCAAACTCCAAAGGAGAGGAGCATAGAGAGTAAAAAGCGTGTTGGCTGGAGACAGACAGTATCAAGACAAATTTTGCGTTACACAGCATCAACACTACGATGCTGTCAGTATTTGCAAGACGGCGTGCAACGATAATAGTGGAGTCAAACAAGAGGACTTGTTCGAACATAAAAGTGTCGCGTCGATGCACAGAAGTATGTACCTTTGACATGCATGGCATCAAAGACGATCCGGAGTGAACTGCGAGCACATAGATTTTGGTGGCTTCTGACAGTTAGAACCAAATACAAATAGGCTAGACCATAACTAAAGAGACGTAGTTGAAGATTACGGTGAATACGAGTTGAGGTTACTGAAAGTTTAACAACCAGTGTGCGTCAACTATGCAAACGAATGGGGGCAGACTGAACGCCTAGCCAGATTTGTGTCCAACGATCAACGGATTCTGACTGGCGCACTCGAACGGCGGCCCCACACATACAAACACATACAACGAGCTAATTCGTTTGCTCTCAATATCTCACTAGCTGACAGTAAAATAAGCAAACTGGAAGCTGACTTTCTGGAACGATATATGTGCTAACGAAAATGCGCTAGGTGCGAAATGAGGACATGTGGAAGAGCACGAAGCAGTTTAGCTACTGAAACAAGCAACAAAAAACAGCATGGCATCCAGGAGTAGACACCACGGGATACGTACCTTATTACCATTCCACGCAGTCTGAAGCACTGGTTGGGAGTTCGTGCGGGGTGAGAGAAAGTAGACAAACGCATGGCAGAGCAAAACAGACCGAGCGGTACAAGGAGCCTGTGAAAAGAACAGGGAAAAAGACGAGGAATTCAGTGCTGCGTTTGGGAGCACTCGCCGAATGCGCGACGAATTGTTCTCTAAGTCGAAAGACAAGTTAAATGAAGGGATATGGTAGCAAATGAAACGGAATAGGAAAGTTGCCTGTGGTGTACACCAAAGAGCAATTTAAAGTTGACCAGAAAGAAGATACGGGTGGGGAAGAGAACCGATGTCGGCGCACAAAACTAGCAGGCGGGAAGAATTTGAGAGACGTGCAGAGTGATGCACACGGTAGAATGCTACGAAGTTAATTCGAAGGTGACCCAAAATGCAGGAATCAGAATAATTCAGCAGTGATAAGAAAGTTGGCTTGTGTGATAATAACCAGAATGTCGGTAGCAAGAGTAAAGCTAGCTCAGTATTGCGGTGGGATTTTCATGGTTAATTGAAAGACAATTATGAATTCGATCATCTTTCGAGTCCCGATGAATCGAATGCCCTGATGAACACAGCACGTTCAAACAGTAGGCAAGTATTCGGAACCAGTGGGATACGGACAAGTGTAGAAAGTAGAGTGCTGGAGTATTTCGTATAGATAGAAATGGATACTCACGGTTTCAAGAAGGGTGGCGGTGACAACATCAGGATGCGAGTGTAATGCTTGTCGGAGAAAAGCATAGACAGATGAGAAAAGACCACGTTCTGAAAGGCTGAGAAGCGCCTGTACGTAGTCGATGTTTTTCCTAAAAAGAGGTAAACAAAGTTTACATTTGTAGTCGGGGCAATTGGAGGTAAGTAAACACAGAGATTAAGACCACACTATGTGAAATCAATACGTAAAAAAACTCGGAGGGACCTGTAACAACCACAGAGCAAACGCGAAGGTGTACAAGATAGCTGAGGAACAGTAAGCTGAAGCCTCGATTACACCTGAGCATCATTCCAGATGAAAAACCAAGAAGAATTCGCGTTTTCGATGCAAACGAAAAAGAAGTGCACAGAGCAATGGTAACTGAACGGCGTTGAATCTACTAGTGCTGGGACTTACTCAGGAATAATCTATTTACAGAAGAGTAGTAGGGGGAGTTGAATGGTATAGGGTCCGATGGAATGCGCACTGCTGATGATTCCCAAAAGGATGAAACGCGCGTACAGTGCTTTTCCGGGCTTGTGGCGGCTGTCTGAGTGAGCCTAGATGTGACGAAATTCTACCTAATAATCTATTTGTTAGACGCAGAGGATGTTTAAACGAAAACCTACCATTACGAACAAGATCCCCTTCAATGAAAGAAAAATACTGCGGACAGAACTAAGTAAAGGGGAAGTATTCGTATCACCAGCAGCGTGTACTGGCAACGCGCCGTCATTGTACCGAAAATGGGTGACATAGATTGTCATATGTTAATGCTGTTCTGGTTGATCGCAAACACAGTGAAACATGTTGAACCCTCAATAACGGAGATAGGAAAGAATAGAGGTGGGTACAAATTACACAAGCAGTTGGATTGCCTTGAACAAAATTGCGTGACGCGTGCGAACCAGGTATGCTTATCCGTGTCATCGGGCGTGAGACCTGTATAATCACCTGCGTCTTCATGTGTATATTGCTTCTACGACCAAAGTAGGCGTATCAAAACTGTGTTGTTGTAGATGTAGTCCGTCTTAGTCAGGCAGGCTCTCACACGTCTGGAAAAGTACCAGACGGCCGTTTCGACCTTCTTATTGCGTCTATGAAATGTTTGAGATCCAATGTACCGAAAAGGAGGACTACACCTAACAAACGTCGCGGGTCACCAATGGACAACTACCGTGCGAAGAGAAGATATAATTAGTGAGACGGCCTCCTTATGGATTTCATAATGAAAATTGTCCGGCAGATATCTCAGAGCCATACACGAGTTAAATAGGTAATCCGGTCAGAAGAAAACAGAAAAGACAGATACCTGTTGGGAACCATTCAACTTAATGTCTGAAACGGAGTACTGAATGGACACTGCGGATCCCGGCCTGGAAGACAAGATGGACCAACGGCACTCAACTTCATGGCTATGAACTCCCCGAACGTCGCTGAAAAACAAGTGTATTCCAAGATATCGAAAGCAATGTCCTTCGTGGATGGGCACCGGGTGGTCTCACTTGAAGCGTGCAATGAGTCAACCTGATCATCACCACACAGTAATCACCAGTAGACCACATTGCTGCGCATAGTCGGTGTCACTCGACACTAGTCATGTTTCGTAAGCGACGATGGTCAAAGACCAGATGGTGCCTGACATGTTCAGGCCAAAATACAAGTGTCACTAACATAGAGAGAAGTTCATACTGCGATTCGGTATGCACTGCCCATAAAACCAAAGTAAACCAATCCTGATGATAAAGGTGGTGTGATTTCCTGAAGACAGTACTAAATTTTGCGATGCCAGAACTACTTTCAACGGTCCCACACCTGTTAACGAAGCTACAAGTATAGGCTTGTTGATCAACTGCCTCTAGTCCCTTCTAATGAACAAATATAGCGGTGGCTTGGGACAGGTGGACCGAGAGCAGCAGCATGGTGTGACACCACAGGTGAATATATCTGAAGCCCACAACAAAAGTGAGAACATGGGAAAACGCTAGCCCGCCTAGATACCGACACATCCTGAGCCGTTCAGGTACACAGTGTATCCAAATGATGACACGGATAACGGTATACCGAATTGAACTGAGAGGTTGCCCGAGTCGAAAAGGCTCTTGAAGTCTAAGAGCACAGCTGATCTGAATGCAATAGTCATGGTGCCACTCAGATCCCTGAGCAATATTAAAAGTGAATAATCGCATCCTGGTCGGAACAAGCCAGTGCTTCGCCTATATGGGAACATCGTTCGACGTAGGCCGGTAGATGCGAATGGGGTTGGCAACTCGGTCACTGCAGCGTCAGATAGTTGTTGCCATATACTTTGCGGCTACCATTATTGAGTAATAAGCGGTGTGATCAGTTTGTTCGGGTCGGGTTCCACGCCGAACAGATGCGTCAATTTTAGCACAGAACTTAATCATCATTCTGAAAAGCGAATGCGAGAGATGACCCAGACAAGCGATGTGAAAGCGGTTGATAAGCGAAATTGAAGTTCATATATCAGATTTCAACGATGTTAACTGACCGCGGTTCAATCTATGCAATTTAGGAAGAAAGTGGTTCAGGAGACGGGTGGTCAACTGGAATAACACAGGTATGACCCTGTCAAACCAGCTGTATTTATCAAATTAAAAGTGAAGATGCCGGTGCAGTTCCTGCTTGTCCCATTGAAGAACGAGCTCTTGAAACAAGCGGTGAGGATTAAGTGTAAGATCATGCGTACTCATCCGCTGTCCTTGCCTTCCCTACTCTTCCGGGGCTCTCGAGTCTACCAGGCTTCCTTACAAACCCGCGGGCCATCGCTTACAGAACGCACTTGGTTGTCCATCTGATTGGGCTATGTCCAGTGACTAGATCGATTCTTCTCTTGAATCTCAACAAGCTCATCGACTTCAATGACATACAGTGATGGATGTAGTAACGACTGTTTATATTGTAAGCAGAAGCTCCCGTGCCTCTCGAATGTAATCACACCGAGGAAGAGGACGATTGCATATCGCACGGTACGTTCGCCTAAACATGAGCTGCAACAGTTTCTTGGTCGCCAATCGAGCAGGCCAAGTGGTGCGCTTCCCGCAAATGTTCCGTGAGAGTCCGTAGAGTACTAGGAATAGGCTAGAACCAGTACTCTGTTTCGTAGGGAGTTGTGGTCAGGAATGGAACTGCGACACATGCAGTTCACAACCCCGAGGCCCATAGGCTGCTACACACCGAAGTGTGCCAAATAGTATGTCGGTGCCTAATAATGTCCGGAGACAGTGCGTCTTGGAAGCAGCTAATAAAGGCTTGTCACTGACAACATGACCGCAATTAAGTCCAAGGAGTTTATACGAACTACTTGAGCCACCATATTCTAAGCCAAGAAAACCACAGATGCGCAATACTGCGTCAAATTGATGACAGAAGTGGTCTTCTACAGCAGCAGGATAATAATCGGTTGGAGCAAAAGCGGAAGCACAAACAGGAAGGATCTAGCGCAGCTTACTGCGAACAAGCTGCAGACAGGCGTTCAATCACGGTACTCTAATCAGTGTACGAGGATTCAGCTCTGGGAGTGAAGATGATGCCAGCTCGGGTTTCACAAGTAATTATTACAGCACTGGTCTCTTTGGAGTTGTATAATCAATAGCAGTAAGAGAGAGCAGGGTGCAATCAGTCTAATAAAAGTGAGAATTGTGGATTCCAGTTGTAGAGAGGTGGCGTTCATCAACAACAAAATTATCTAGTGCATATTGTTTTGGGGCACGAAAGCTGAAAACTTCCAAGGTAACTAGGAAGTGAGGTAAAAATTGTGCTTTGAAAGGTCAAAAACTACTGGGTCATGTGGGGAAACATTCAGAAGCAAAACGTTCAGTGGCATTGCAGTTATCGTCGCCAATGCTGGTGATTACGAAAGTAAGCGTACTAATGGAGGCCAGCGAGGTGGTGCAAAAAAAGCGAGTGGAAAGTAATAAAGGATGGTAGGAGTTCCTACAGCTGCTCTGATGCATGTAGAAGTTAAGCAGTTCTTTTTGAGAGCGGGTAGCGGCTCGAGGCTAGCGCACTACCAGAGCACCAAAGCCTAGGAAAGAGAACGAGTGCCGTGCTCAAACAACCACAAAGCAGCGTGAAGTGGGTAACGGCCCGTAAGTTGGGTTAGTTACAGATGGTGGACCAGGAAACTGAGCTGGACTGAATTCTAATCAATGACCAGCATAGCAGGAATACTTGTCAAGGCATCCAAAAAGACCCAGCAGCATAGCCCAACGAGCCAGATAGTCACCGTAGAGCGTCAAAGCTCAGATTCAATGCAAATGACAGGTGAATACAGCATAATCCGATTGGTTTGTGCCGGGAGTACCATGCGCCGCAGCGAATTTAGCAAAAGTGGGCGTGCAGATGCCATTGTTGGATGAAACCAAGCCAAAAGTAACTGACTACCTGTGAGTAACTACAGTAGCATTGTAATAAGAAAAAATAGCTGAAGTCGGACAAAGTAAAATAGGTAAGCGCTCTAGATCAATCGACAAGCATGTACTAATGTGTAACACCTGTTGATGATGGGCAGTCTGCCGTTCGGTGACTACTAAACAATTTGGTACAAACGCTGCTGACATGAAGGTTATGGGGCCGACACAAAGCCGAAGAAAGCGGTTGTCAGTGTCAGCATGACAAGCATCGATTCCGAAATGGCCTGAGACGACATGCTGAATTTGATAAGCAACCGGTCTGAACAATAATGTCATCCGTAAAGACTACGGCACATGTGCTTTTGACTATTCGAATCAGGGAAGAGAGTTGTTCACAGAGCTAGTTGGGACGTCTACAGGGGGATAATCGGTGGGAGCGCAGGCTCAAAACAACAAAAGACTACGTTGACCGCAGACGCTGTGTAATGACTCGGGTGGAGCTACGAAGCCGTTCACGGGGAGTCATTCTAGAGCGATAAGGAGTGAATCCGAGAGAGATGTCGTCGCCAGTCATTAACGCGGTGGTACTAGCCGCATGAGGTAACAGGACACTGATGTTAAAGGACATTTCCAGATTCAGAAGCGCCTGGGTAATGTAATCAGGGAAATCGAGTCCACGTTGGGGACGCATCACTAGTCGAGGAAATGTATGATGAGTCGATAAAAGTTTTACCAACTTGGAACACAAAAAGCAAAACTAGCAGAAAAATATAGTGCGACAGATACAATTGTTTAAACGATAAACAAGAAACATGCACATCACCAACAATCCATAAATAACTGTAAGGGAATAACGATGGGAGTAGGGTGGATGAGCAAGAGGGAGGACTCGAACGTACCATATTTGCAAATGGGCCTGTTCTTCACCTGGATTTATGCGATACAGAGACAGATCCACGCAACGGTAGGGCCAGTAATTCACACAAAGGACATCTGGGTAATTGTAACAGGCGTATAGCAGTGAGAGTTGGCCGTAGACGTGTGTCCAGTGGCCGTAAAACCAAGGTGTCGGTAGTTGTGATTGGGGGTCCCGTAGCAAGCATTGCTTCAGTATCAGGAATGCGGCTCGATTGGCAACGAAAAATTCCAAGCGGTCCAATTCCGAGATAATCTTGAAAACACAAATAAGTGACAGTGCGTATAGGTGTATAAAAAAGTCGTGGTTAGTGTACATTAGCGATCATTTGTGGTTTGAGTGCAGCAGTGGCCAGCAAAATCACATGCGAGAACGTGCACACTTAATAACCCCGCATCGGACAACTGCACGAATCAGTGACCACTTTGGGTTAAATCTCATAAACATTACAATAGGGAAGTGGTGAGTAACTACAGTTAACAGCACTAATAATGGTGAGAAAATCTGTACCTCGAGATACCGATGTGCATTGTGAGTACCTCACTCAGCCGAGTAATTGATTTGCGAACGTTCTGTCCCTTAGCCTGGAAACGAAATGTCTACAAAGCAATCCCCTTACTCGGATAGCAACTATGGATACATATTGGACAAAAAATGTTTTGAACCACGGGAATAGATAACCAAATACTAACCAAGCCGGCTGGCATCGGCAAGGTAACTGAAATTCGCACGTTTCCACCACGACTGGTTTCAGTAGGCCTCAACTGTAAAAGCACCACAGGGAACTTGGGATCGCTGATGAGTTCACTTATACTGCACTGGCGACGCTTGCCACCAGAATGTGGTTTGTCTTAAGCAGTGGCCTGTGTTATCTGGTCGCCGACTCGAGTTTGTGTAGGTACGTGCGACCTCGCAGTACACCCAGCGCGCATGACAGCGAAGCGTCAGTGCGAAGTGTCGGTGTACTAGTGACGCTCAGAAACCAGGCAGGCAGCGGTACAGTGAGAATCTCTCTTCTCTATGGCAGTGGAACGTGACTATTTCGTCTGAACATCGCGAGCGTCTCCATGCCTTTGACGATCATCGCTATGGAACAGGAGTTGCGTCCAGTTGCACATTGTGTCTTCAGCAGGGAGATGCGCTGGTGTACACTGGGTGATGATGATCCGGTTGGCTCCTTAGGTCATCATAGAACATCACTCCGATTGTCGCAGTTCGTGGCACGCCTAACATGCGCTCACCAACTACTTAGAGGAGAAGAGCACAGTTATATTTATCGGAAAAGCTTAAGAAGGCAAGCACTGACACGGAGGAAATGAAGTGATGCTGTCAGTTCGCCTCGCTTCCCAAATTCGGGTCTACGCGATCCATTCACTGGTGGGTTTGAGGGATTAAAGGAAACGATTAGCAAAAGACACCAACAGAGCGTTTATTATCCTCCTCTAGTCAGACCACTGACTCAAATCGTTTATAGTTCGGCTATTTGCCGGGTAAAGCTGCTTGTGATAAGTGGTAGAGACCTAAAAGAAAACTATCCTGCTGAGGCTGAGTTGACATTACACGGAAGTTGGTTATCCATGACTGCGTGGTGCAGGCAAAGTGTGGGGCGCCTTGACCAACAGTATTTGCTGATTGCTGTAGGTCTCACATAAGGGTTGCCATTGTTTTGTATATTCCTTAGTAGTAAATTAGAACTCTTTAATCCACGTCTCTTGGATAGAGAAGAACCATGTGGGCAACAGAATACTGACAGCGGCGACGTGAAATAGATGCAGTAGATCGTTTAGTTTATTTCATCAATCATGATTCGTTAGGCCGAGTGGTGGAGTCTCGGGTCTTCAAGTTTATGCGAACTAAGTGAAGAGGAACATAAAGGCTAAATGGAATACGAAGTACAAGCCAATAGAATAATGCAGTTGAGGAAAGATAACCGAAGCATCGGCCTGAGAGAGTCGCAACTAGGAGCAACAGTGAATGCGAAGTCGTCAATGGTCTTGCAGCTACGCATATCACTGCACTGATGATGCCACCTCGCATGGTGGCGAAATGTTTGCAAACAAGCTGCCAAGCTCGGAAAACAAATGAACAACTAAAACGGAAGTGGTTAACGAGTGTTAGATGATTCAACCACAGTAGGTGAATGAGAAAGGACAAGCGATTCGCAACCTAAATATACACAATGAAATTGCTTTTTTGATTAATTCCTCCCACGAAGTAATGGCCAACAGTGGCGATAGGTCAATAACTACGATCCAAACAGTGACACCAAGCCCAGTGCAGTGATGTACATCGTGTTTTGATCAACAAACTGATATTTGGCGCATGTTTATATATGCAAAGGTCCGAAATGCCACTTGAACTCTCCTGTAACAAGGATATACATCATAAACTGAGACGGGCTGGCTAGCCGAAAAACCCCCGTGTGACACCAGTTGGGTGTTTCACATTTAACCCGTTCCAGCAAATAGTTCGGTGGCAGTGTGCCAGGACGGTTTTTGCTAGGCAAGCGTTCTCCCAATAAACAGCTACAAATATCTGTTTATTAAAACTGCGAGGCGGCGGTCGTGACTCGCCACATACTAAAGTCACTGTCCTGTGAATATCCGGATAATCCTACCCAACTCACGGACATCAATCATCTAGTTACCATGACGACACTGTGAAACAGCCAAGTATGCAGCGGCACATGTACAAGCAGAAACTACACAGCTACACACACATACGCAATTACATAGATATACAAACCCCTACACAAACATTCACTGTTACAGCAAATATGTTGTATTTTTGTACATGTTTAATCACGCTTTGTCATCTTAATATGATCATGTCTGTAAAGGCGTGCCCCGCTTTGTCGAGAATAAAAAGTTATTTATTTATTTACGAAAAGTTGACAACCACCATGGTTCGTGAATCGGACTACAATTATAGCCACTACTTCCCTAGTCAGCCCAGCCATGCACCGAGACATAGCGTTCGTGATGCTCACATCGACGTTGACGCCCGATGTCTGCGCGAGATTAGGCAGATGTGACTGACAGGTCAACGGCGTACCGTCTCAAATTTGAACTTAGCTACTGAGCATATACGAGTAATATAAAGGATAAGCAATTAGTAACGGCGGAGGATCCGCGTGATCAGATAGCTGGGATGAAGCATAGCAGAGGCAAGCGGTCATTTTGAAGTACTCGTTATTTGAATGGACGGCGACGCGTAATTTCAATGTGGACCGCGATTCGCACAGAAGTGAACTCTGGGAATCTTCCAATTAGCCACTGACAGGTAACAAGCGTTGCCCGTCGTGCTCAGCGGTTTACAGCTAGAGGTTTCGGCTAACACCCCAATGTCCCCGGGTTCGGGTGGCTGGTATCTCTCTACCTGATGAGATCAATTGAGATCGAAACGCGTCGTGGTGTGCAGTGTTTTCGGAGGAGTAACACACAATATACATAACAGGACAGTTAGATGTGCTGGCGATAAAAGCAAGGAAGCCGCACCTGACCAAGAGAAATTGCTGGATTCAGTTCGAAAACCGCAGTGAGGAAGTTTTCCACATTCCAAACATCAAGATCAGAGGAAGATCCGGTGGGTTGAATTGGGTCTGAAAAGTCAAGAGAAAGGTTCAGAGAAGGAAACGCAAGATGGCAGCGATCGATTTCTGAGTTTGCCCAAAACAGTTTGTTTACACCTATGTACGCACCATGACATTTTTATCGAGCGAGTAGTAACCAGACAAATAATTATGAATGGCAACAGAGGAAAAGGCAATTGTCGTGTTTGCAACAAGTTAAGAAGAGGTGTATTTACGTAAAGTAGTCGCTTACCTATAACATCGACATTCTCCTGATGCAGTGAGAAGTGGCTGGTAGGCATCGATGACGTTGCAGCTAGTCCACAATCATCTGTTCCAAATTTGCCAAAACGAAGTGTTCTCAGTGAGCCCTTACGTGCTTCCTCTACTTCATCGGCAAAGGCATCAGAAGGCGCACGATGTCTCAACTGACCATCGGCAGTCCGCATAAACAAGCATATGCACTTAGCCACTGCAGCCGGTGTCACTTCGCGCTGACTCAATTCGGCCAATGTCAATCGCATAGAATCCAAACTGCAAGCGAACAAACGAAGAAGCATGCAGATAAACAACTATCAGTCACTTGGTAGTGCATAATGCAATGAACTATCCCAAAGGGGAAGACAAATTTGAGAAACCCTGACAACATTCATTTGCTCGGTTCAGTTGGTCAACTGCGATTGGAGCATTGAAAAATAGGAGTCGGGTTGCTACCTCATGTAGTCGTGGTGAAAGAACCCGAAGTGCGAAATGGTAAGAAATAAAAAAGACCAGTTGTAAATAACCTGTAATGATAGATGCAATGGATTAAAGGCTAAGAGGTGAGACAAGACGAGACACTAGAATACGAGTGATTCCAAGGTTTCATATCACTAATGTAGCAAGCCTCGTGCGTCTGGTCCCGAGGATGCAACTCAACCTTCCGGATAGTTGATTTAAATGATATCATACAATCAGCGAATTCGAAATACAGGATATGCCAGCACAGTCGGGGGGCGGTGCATGTTTATCAGACAGCCTGATAATATTAGTACGAGGGTTGCAGACCGGTGACAGGGTTGGTGGGACACGACGCATGCAGCCACGTGGAGTCACAACGTGTATATTGTAATTACCCATGGGGAATGATTGAGCTGTATCCGCTGATGCCATCTTCACACGACGGGTAAGTCCTTACGACTTGTGTAGATTTCCTGATCCTGAACGCCTATTCTAGACATTTGGATTTAGAATCAGGTTATTACTGTGCTCCATTTGTATCCCACATTTGTTTGGTTGTCTCCCAAATAGTAATGGTATGGTAACACAGCAACGGAATAACGTGTTGATATGCTACAGTTCGTAGTGACGATGACTTAGTTGTCGATGATGAGGTTGCTTTAAACTCTGGATGCAGAACGGAACATAAGGTAAAACGACGAGGTCACTCTACGATGACACAGATGCTACAATGGACACGCTATGAGTGAGTCAGGAACCGATAGTATTGGGTCTAGAGATGCGGTGAGCTTGGACCTTAACGTATTACGACAGTTTGTGTGATCAAACGACTCGATGAACTATGCTGGACGGTTACTTGCATATTCAGGAGCGGTCATACCAGGCCAGAACAATTCAGTATTTTAGTCCTCTAGGATAGAGTAACGGTGGATCCGAACCCCTTAACAAGGACTCCAAGTAGTCCACTGCCAAACTCCTGCTGTCTTGCAGCCAGATTTTTGAGTAGGAGACTTTGCATGAGAACCCTAAAAGATCTCATGCGTTGGTCCGGGTAACCGAACAATAGCCCACCTACGCAATATAACGAAAACTTTAAACAATCACCTGATGCATTGTCCGTCACAGAGGTTAATCAACAGTAACCTATCTACAGCATCGAACAGAGTGGATAGGGATGAGGACGCTACTGCTGAGGCCCTTACTCCCCCTCCTACGTCACAAAGAGGGACTATGAAGCCCGGTGATCTCACCGTGCAACGGAGTTGGAAACAGCTGCAGCCACAGGTTATTAGGTCAAACATGAGAAACAAGCAGAAGAAGACCTGCTACTAGCGAAACTACAGGCTACCGGAGTGCAGATCTAACCTAAAACGCTTAGACTTAGGCCGAACACATTGAAAAACGGTTTCATCAACCAGAGTTACCAGCCTTCATATCGGCCAGTAATCGTTCTTCTCCATGGGCTATCCCTTTAGATGCGCCCTCTTGCGGAGGAATCAAATGTGAGATCGGACTGTTTGAACTGCATAAATCCGCAGGAGCAGATAGACTTCCTCCAACCCACTTCAAATTCGGAGGACCTACTCTTACGGGTGATCTGTGGTCAGACTGTCCGAACAGACTGCGGCCGCTCCATTATTGTCAAGATTTTCGAGTGAGGCTCACATTCGGAATGCGACAGTCAGAAAGAAATCAATCCGATCTCAGTCGCTTCAAATCCACTTGCCTCTGTCGCTCTCCATAGACTGGCTGGTATCCGTGAAAGCCAGATATAATGACCACATCTTCACATTACGTCAGTTGTTAGAATATCGCCACATTTATTGGCAACCCACCGTAGTCGTGTTCCTCGACATCAAAGATGCCTTTTGAAACTGTCTGCTCAGGATAACTAGGTAAAGGCTATCATATCGCTTTACGCGCATGGTTCAGATGGAGTGAGAGCTTATGACAAACCATCGCCGCCCACCGGTGTGAAACAAGGTTGCTCGCTGTCACCTATCATTTGCAACTTTGCCATCGATGATTTTGGAAACGGCGCTCACTGAGTACGACCTACGAGGTGTGCAGCTGCTTCCGAGGAGTCGACTTCTTGACTTCGTACTCGAAGTATGCTGATGATATTACCCTAACCTGTGCCACCTCACAAACACGCCAGGTAACACTGACATTCAATCGTTTCGGGTTGTGTTTGTCAAGCAATAACCTCTGCGCTGACCCTTGGAAGTGACCAGCTAAACGTAGTTCAGAAATCCAAGTACCTAAGCAGCTATATTAGAGCCAGTGGAACAGAAGATGAATGGATATTCCTCTGGTCCTGAAGCGCAGAGTTGTCTGTTCAACCCTACTGTATAGTTGCGAAGCCTGACTCATCAGATCGACAGACCTAAAGAGGCTAGTTTCGTTTGACACTCGCTGTCTTCGCAGTTCTGCTCAGGTCTGGTGACAACACTGTGTGAGCAACGGACGTGTTTGGCGTCTCGTATTTGGTGCAAGAAAAGCGAGTGAACCGCTCAGCATCGCCATATCGCACATCAGGCTCCGGTTGTTGGACTGTGTTGCGCATGTTAGCACACAAACTCCCGCGACGTGCGCCGTTCGCTTGACCGGGAGGTGGATGGAAGAAGACGAGGGGAGGTGAAACGATGAATTGGGCAAGACCCTCATTTCGAATTTGGCACGTCCGGTTAAATATACTTGTTGAAATGGTAAAGAGCCGACCACAATAGCGTTCGCGTTTTTAGTTCCCTTGTCCCAACCTGTCGTGATTGACCTTTTCAACAGGTCGCTGTCCGAAGGTTTGTTGCCGGTTGACTGGAAATGTTCGGTGGTGAAGCCTATTCCGAAAGGTGGCGACCCTAGCAAAGTAGATACTTACAGGCCAATTTGTCTGACACCTATTTTGGCAAAGGTTGCTGAGAAAACCGTGAAGAAGGGATTGCTGCAGTTGCTACAGTCAAACGAGGTCCTGACGCCCGCACAGCACGGTTTTATGCAAGGTCGCTCATGCATTACGAACCTGCTTGTGACGAGGCATGAGTGGTTAAAGGCAATAAACAAGGGGAAATGCGTCGACGTGATATTCATCGATTTCAGTAAAGCGTTCGCAAGGTCAGTCATGAGGTTCTCCTTCACAAACTCAGCATGTGGTGTCAGTGGCTCACTGCACCGGTGGATCCGCGACTTTCTTGTTGGACGAAAGTGGAGGGTACAGGTCGACGACCATCTAACTGACTGGTACCCCTCTACAAGTGGCGTGCCTCAAGACACTGTGCTGGGGCCCACTCTGTTCCTGATCCATATCAACGATCTACCGCAGCTTCTCCGGTCACCGTGTGCCTTGTTTGCGAACGACATGAAGATTTTGAGAGAAATCGACGCTCCCGACGACTGTGGCCTACTTCAGCAAGACTTCAACCGCCTATCCACATGGTCTGCAGAAGTTCTTCTCCCGGTCAACCCAGCCAAGTCTGTATTTATGAGCCTGGGTAAGGGTGCCAACGGCCGAACTTACACCCTTGACGGCCAAACGTTATATCCCATACCCTCCGTGAAAGACCTAGGTGTATTCTCACGCTACGATTTGAAGTCCGTGGACAACACGAACAAGCTATATCGTAACGGACTGCTCACGCTTTGGGCGCTCAAACGTAGCTTCGCCACATGGTCTGAAGAGGCTGCCACTCACCTGTTCTCTTCGATCATTAGACCAATGCTAGAGTACGGTTCGCCCGCCTACTTTCCGATTACCCGAGGCGAGGCACAAAAGATCGAACGGGTCCAACAAGTCGCTACCAGGCTGATCCCGAGTTTACGTGGCTTTGGGTATGAAGACCGGTGCGAGAAACTAGGACTCTACACCTTGTCCTACCGTCGGGTGCGAGTCGACCTCATTATGACCTACCGTATTCTACATCTCGGTGACTTCCCAATGTTAAGGCCAATGCTGCACTTACGAGGGCCATGCAGCACAGGCGGACACAGATACAAACTTGTCGTGCCGGATGTGAAATGTGTTCCCCACCCACTGTGCTTCGAACGGAGAGTGGTAAACATTTGGAACAGTTTGCCTGAATATGTGATTGAGGCAACATCTGTGCAACAGTTCAAAACGTTGTAAGATTTATATTTTGCCACTATTCGATTCAGAGAACGACTGCACACTTACGATGACATATCACATTTGTGAATCCTGTAATATCGTAAGTCGAATATTTTAAATGTTACATGAGAACGACAATGATATTCACGGTTGACGACTTTTATAACGTTTTTCACCATATTTCGAAACAGTTGTACAGAATCCATTTCTACTTGCTCTATAATACAGTATTCAGTATTCACTCTGCGGCCTAGCCCCCACTCCAAGCACGAGCTCAAAAGCGATGTATAACACTGCGATTCTTCATTGTTTCGTCATTCTTTTTCATCTATGTAGTTTCGCTGTGTTGCGGAACAATTCTGATGCGTGTATCATGTACAGTTAAGGCATGATGAAGATGACTAATTAGGTAACAACGACGCTGAGACCTTTTACGCAAGGGCCGACAATTGAGGGCAAATGGTAAGGAAGGGATGAGCAAGTGTGCCTGTGGGAAAGAAGAGTTTGCAAGCAGTCGATTTCCTAGACATTAGTACACTATAAATTCCGAAGAGCAAGATAAACGCTTACTTGTGGGTGCAGGCGTAGCCCAGTTCCTCCATCAAATCTGCAAGTAGAGAAACATCGGTTTCTTCCTCTTCCGGATGGACTGTAGTAGGTTCCCAGAAAGTTAGGTCTGGTAACGGCTCAACATCGATGACCGCATTCGAGTGGCGATCCACCGCCAAAGTGTGCAGTCTAGATAAAGGTGCACTGACATTGGGAATAGATACAATCCCACAAGGCAACTCTCCTGGTTCTTGGTATGTTATCGCTGGATTGGGTTCCAGTAGATCCGGATAAAGCATCGCAGACATCACAAGTGGAACACAGTTGCGTGGTAACTCTGATACAATGTTGAAGAGATAACATAACCAACGTGAGAAATGAAGACAGCAAAGAGAAACCGGAGTAGAATGAATAGGTAACTGCATACCTCGACTAAGCGATGCCAGAAGATTGGAAATCATAGGATTAGTGACACCAAAGTGCTCCGACTCCTTGAGCAGATGGGACAGGATGAAGTGTAATGCCTCAACGCTCACTTCGCGCAAAATCCCTGATGTGATGATTCCCCGCGAGTCCGGTGATTTATCGACCAAATCACTGGTTGATTCGTGTGCAGCTTGCGAATCAACTGATTCTAGAAGATTAGTTGACATGAATGCAAGTGGTTAGTGCTCTTGCAAGAACAAAACAAAGGTTGACAAACCCAACTGCGTTTACGTATGAGGTGAGAATAAATGCAGGGTTCACGGAGCATATGCAGACAAGTCAGTAACATAGGACAATATAAAACGGACTACGTGATTTTGCAGTGCTGTGTAACTATTATATTCCAATAGGAAGTGAGGTGTTACAACTGTAAGGGCATGTGCACTGCACCGGTAGTAGAATATGTCGGGATCCCGCGCCGACGGTTCGCCACCGCGAAATCACTCTTGGCTGCATGAGATCTTGGAAAATCCGACGTTGTATACACCTACGAGGGTTCGAACGAGTGACTCGTTGAGTACAAACTCGATAGCTGAACTATACCGTCAGCAACCGGAAGTGGCCGCTAATTCCGGTTACTACAGACCTGGCAAATTGAGAACAAGCAAGCAGGAAGTGACAACTCCAACGTACAAGGAGCCAACCGACCATCAAACAAGGTCAAGAAACCAAGAACGACCACATAACTCGATCGCACTTATGCTTTCCGGGAGGAATGAAGCCTCAATGAGTGAGTATTTAGGGCTGATATAAAACCAAGAACAAAGCACTGAAAGAAAGGAGAAAGGCATAAGCAGTACGCCGGTACGCAGTACCGAAGCTTCGCTGCCACGTAACCATTGCCGGGCGCACTGGGCTAAGGATACTGCGAGGGTCGCCCTACCCCTACGCAGGCCCGAACCCCCGCCGCCAGATTACAAGCATTGAGTTTAATCGTGTTCACGAATGGAATAGACGTACCATTCTCTAATAAATGCGAACGGATGAGGTCTGGTAGCTTTTGACGGATCCATTGATGTGCGTGGTACACGACCTCGGAATTGCCGCAGTGCATTAGAGCGAGACCCAACATGACTTCCTGTGCACGGCCCAACTTGAGCACTCGACTGATTTGGGGTAGAAGGTGGCGAGATGGCCCAAATCCCTAGTGGATAAGGCAAAAATGATTGGTAGGGTAAAGGTAGGAAGTACTGATAGTCACTCAGAGCCAATGTAACAAAGAGGTTCAGAAGTATGTAACTGACCTTGAAAGACGGTAAAGGTGTATCGATAGCGTAGCATAACAGAGACACAAAATGAGGTCTGGACAGAATTGAGCTGAGTTTCTGGCCGAAGAGCTGTATCTAGAGAAACCCTCATCGAACGCTTAAATAACTCACTTGATGAAGATCTTTCTGCGAGCTCTTAGACTCATAGGGAGAGAAGTCGATAGATGAAAAGACGCAACGAATAAAGTGACGTTCGAACACCGACTTCCTTTGTTCGACAATCTGAAGAAAAAGAAACATATGTTTAATCGCGTGTTGTAAAGCGCCGTATACATTGTATATAACAAAAACATCAAAAAACATTAGTGATGAGATTAGTCCACATTTCTCGGAGAAAAACAATAGACGGAAACCACCAATAGGAAACAATATTCAGTAGGACAGACATCGCAATTCGTTGCTTTGAGCATCAGAATAGAAGTCTAAGCAAATCAGTCGAACATGAGCAATGGGAGGTATAAAATAACCCGATTATGGGTAGCAAAAAAAAACTATAGGCTAAAGGCCGTATCGTACTGGAAGCCAGTCTGATCCCTGGAGACACGTCATCGCGAAGAATTGAGGCTTAAGAGTCCATGAAATTGCGATTCGGCACCTGTAGCCAACACCGGATCTTGCCGATGCCAGAAAGGTGTGACGTCCGAGTTTGGGGTCAAGTGTGTTGAGAGGAAAAATGGCGACACAGGGAGAACCAAAGTGCTCACTAAAATGTTTGATCCAATAGTCAAGACAACTAAGTTGGAAGTCAGTCAATAACTTCTCGAGATCGATAGTTACTCATCTACCCGAAGCCCGCCCCAACTCATGCATGTGGACGGGGTGGAGCCGTAATTAGAAAATAACGACAAATGGCTGGCGGCATCCGGTTTCGAATTTGCCTGTCACCGTGGTCAGCCACAGGACGCCTGCGTCTACGGAGGGATCATGGGTGGCTTGAGATGCATCACCCACATACCCCATATCCAAGGTAAACCCGAAAGAATAAGACATGTGGAGGCATGTGGATGGGAGCCACGTTTCATCAACGGAACCGGCCCACACTTCTTCACAGACAAACACAAGTATGCTGTATTTGTGAATCAAGCGCATACAGGGCGGTGGCTGGACCGTAGTCCGCTTCACACTGAGTGCATGGAACCACTCTTCGAGCTTAGCACGGCCACAAGGACCGTGCAGCCCGTCCTCTCCAGCAACGATCAACTGTCTCCTGGAGCCAGTATGGACGAGGTAGTGGATAATAGAAAGGTAGGCACTTTGTCAACATGCATATCAAGCGCAGCCACTCCAGGGATATCAAGCAACAGCCAATGACTTGAAACGACGATATCAAATAAAATAAATCAAATAATGCATACGCATTTGCTGACATAACTCTTCAATAAATAAGCATATGAAATAAATTGATTGCCAACAAATCCGCGATAATTTCAAGATGTCAGAAAATATATTTTAGGAAAATGCCACAAACGCAAAAGCTAACTAAAGTAGTTTAAGGGACGTGTTAAAGTGTATAGAAGATAGTTCAGGTAGATATTAAGATGGGATAAAAAACAGGACAAGATAGCAAACCCATCCCCTGAAACACAGAGACCCAACATGCAAGCAAGCGGTTAGTAAATCGAAAGCAGCGCACCTACAAACGCTGCGCCGGTTCTGACTACGTTTTCTGCAAGACCCGTCGTCGTTTCGGTGTTGGCCCCGAGTGGCCTCGCTCATGGCTCACTAGGTCTGTCTGACTCAGGCACTCATGACCGCATGTGCTACAGCACCATGCGTTTGATGTCGATGGAGTACAACCCATCGGCGCCTGCAGCTTCTTCTCCGCATGCACGAGATCTTTCTCCTGCACCTCGGCAATTGTCTTCGTGATCAGATTGTGCCACGCACGCCGATCAACCGCCTTCGATTCCCATGACCTGGAATCAAAATTAGAACGTGAGGCTCACTTTGATCATATCCTCGTAACGTAACTTCGGTTTACTCACATCGTTTCTCAACACTCAGCTGACCATATAATAGTTGTTTCGGTATCCTGCGTCCAATCTATACGCCACACATGACCGAGCCACTTCGGCGCAACACTTTCGGGTCTGCCACTCCGTCGCGCCAACCGCTGCGCAGAATCCGTCGTAAACACTGTTGATGGAACCGCTCGAGATATCGCACATCCCGCCGGTATAGTCTACGTTTTGTTGTCGTACAGAAGAACGGACAACACCATGGAATGGTACACCATCAGCTTCATGCCAACGGTAAGCTGATGGTTGATCCACACTCGGTATCTAGCTTCCTGAGTATCGCCGCTATCTTCGAGACGCGGACACGTAGCTCACTGTGAAGCTGCTGGTCAGTCGACATCACAAAAGCGGGAGCTGGTTTTTAATACCTCAGCACCAATGCTGTTTCCGAGCACCATTACAGATTGCACCTCTGGTGAAGGTTGAAAGAGATAGACAGTTTTGCTTGCGTTGATGTTGAGGCCGAATTTGGTCAATGTCGAAGCCAGAGCACTAGTCATGTGCTGCAACTCATCCGCGCTGTGTGCAAATAACGCACAGTCGTCAGCAAACAGCAACATACTGATGAATGTATTACAGACTAGGGTTCTCGCACCGAAACCACGGATGTTCAGCAACCCACCATCAATACGGTGCCCCACACGAACACCGTAAGCATAAGCCGCATCAAAAGCACATCACTACATGAAGGTAAATAGTAAACAGGGCAGGAGCTAAGACACAGCCTTGCTTCACACCAGTGACAACTGCAAAGTCATCCGAGATCTCTCCACTCCACTGCACCCTCGCCCGCATACCACTGGGCAGACATTCAATTAAGCTTACAAACTTACTCGGACAACCAAACTTACCGAACATCAGCCACAATGCCTCGCGGTTCACCGTATCAAATGTCTTGGTGAAATCAATAAAAAGTGAGAACGGCTGGTGTCGTTCTCTACACTTCTCCTGCAACTGATCAGCCACAAACAATATATGCTTGGCGGCATCCGGTTTCGGATTTGCCTGTCACTGTGGCCAGTCACAGGACGCTTGCGCCTACAGAGGGACCATGGGTGGCTTGCGCTGCACCACCCACAGCTCCAACCACACACTTCATATACAGTGTAAACCCGAAGGAATAAGACCGGGAGGCATGTGGATGGGAGCCACGTTTCATCAACGGAGCCGGCCCACACTCCTTCACAGGCAAACACAAGCACGCTTTATTTGGGGAATCAAGCGCACACAAGGCGGTGGCTGGAACGTAGTCCGCTCCACACTGAGTGCATTGAACCACTCTTTGATCCTAACACGGCCACAAGCACCGTGCACCCCGTCCCCTCCAGCAACGACCAACTGTCTCCCAGAGCCAGTATGGACGAGGTAGTGGGTAATAGCCAGGTAGGCACCTTGTCAACATGCACATCAAGCGCATCCACACAATATATATATATATATATATATATATATATATATATATATATATATTCAGCAAATGCTGCATTATGCACCGACACCAATGCGCCAATCGGCCCATTGTTCTCATCAAACAGTCAAGCCGCTTACAGTTTGCGCGCCCGATGGTCCCCTCGGCAGCAGCTGTCATCTGGTTGCGAATGTGGTGCCACAGGTTGCCCACTGTGGCTATGCAGTCCACATCATACAGTCGTGTAGCCATCGTCTTCTCCAGCTCAGTACGTTTCGCCACAGTACTGAGGGTGGGAATGTTAAATTTACGCCGATTCACAGTGGGAGTGCAATAAACAGATTTACGAAAATATATGTACGGTTTGTTCCGCATCAATTTGTGATAAGTGCCACCCGAAGCTACACGCAGTACACGTGTCATGCGCACTTCACGCATATCACGCTGACGTACGATGACATAGTCGAGCAAGTGAGTGTGACCATTCCATGGGTGTGTCCAAGTTGCTATATCACTCGCACTCAGTGCAAACCGAGTGTTCGTGATCGTCAGGCCGTGAGTGGCACACAGTGAAACAGCCTGTCATCATTCGCATTCACTGAACTAATGCCATGCGGACTGATAACATCTGTCCACACCCGATACATCATGTCCAACGCGCGCGTTGAAATCACCCAGCAAAAATAGTCGGTCGCTTCTCGGCACAGACCGTATCACGGAGAATAACTGAGTGTAGAATTGATCACGCGTGTCATCAGGATAACACATGGTCAGACCGCACGTGCTTAAAAAGGTGGCAAATATACCTCTTCCGAGTCGTAGGCGAACAGTCATCAGTCGCGCGCTGGTGCCTGTTGGTTCACCCACCAGCTGGCCATTTAGGCGATCGGATATTACAAATCCGACCCCATGTTCACGTGGTGCTAAGGTGGCGTTGCCCACTCAGTAGAACTGGTAGCCAGCACCCGCTTCGCGCAATTGATCTCGCTCGGCGAGCCAAGTCTCACTGAGCGCCGCAATATCGATGTGGTAGCGCGCAAGTTTCATCGCGACTAGTGCAGTGCGTCGCTCGGGGCGCTCACTCGAGTTCCGGTCCAGTAGTGTGCGCACGTCCCAGCACCCGACGCTTTGCGGGCAGGCATACGATTGTATTGGTGGGAATTCGCACGGTTTGTGGTAGCGGTTGCACATCGGAGGTTTGCTTGAGGGACTCCACCCGGAGCCTTTGGCTCAATAGCCTGACCCACAAGGCAGTGGGTGATTTGGATATTTGCTTGAGGGACTCCGCCCGGAGCCTTTGGCTCAATAGCCTGACCCACAAGACAGTGGGGAGCAGATGCAGCTTGGGAATGTGATTGCAGAGACAAATTGTGATCTGCTTGACGGCCGTCACACGCAGCGTTTGAGGTACTGGAACGATTCATATATGTTTTGTGACCGCAGTAGGATATGCACCTGCGACCACGGCCAGACGCAAGTGGGTTTTGGCTGCTTTACACAAATTTAACCAGGGGCTGCCTGGTTTGAGGCGAGTAGTAGCAAACCACTGGGCACTCGGAGGTGCCCTGCGACCGTCAGAGACAATGCGTGGCGCTCGTGCTCTAAGCCAATCGAGTTGAGCTTATAACCCGTAAACCTGTTGTCTCCCATGGCTAGGTTTTACGGGAAGAGGGCCATCGACCACTTTCTAACCTATGAAGAAGATGGACTAAAACTGGCAGGGTGCCCACATCTGACAGGAGAACGACGCGGGTCCTCAACCAAAGCCTTCGATTAAATGTACACCCGAAATGCAG